AAGTGAAGAAGCCATTGATGGCTTTATGGAGCACGTTGGGGTTGAGTCGGCGGGAGGTGGAGGGCAGAGCCCGCAGGGCACGCAGGACGTAGCGAGGCTCCTTTCCAGACACGGCCTTCTCAAGCTGCTTCACATGCTCTTTGATGTCTGCATCAGCACAGGGAAATCCTGCTAGCACTTCGCCCCTGGCAAGTGCTCTCACAAAGGAGGCAAATCCTAATACCTGATGATCATATTGGTGATACCCCTGCTTCCTTGCTGAAGGCTGATATGCGCTTCTACCCGCTCATATTAATATCATTTTAAGGAGAAAGCCTCAATACCTCAGGACATAAGCCACTCTCTAAGTGGGAGGAGGGGGAGAGGTTAGGAAGAAACTTTCCCTGGAGGCAGGTTATCCTATATCCGTCTACTACAGGTTTCTTGCATCTTCCTCTGCAGTCCCTGGTGCCGGCCACAGTGAGAGAAGGGATACCGAAGTATCATTTATATTACAATAGTACCTAGGAGCCCCAGTGATAGACAAGGGCCCCACCGTGCTAGGTACTGTGCAAACACAAACCAAGTAGATGGACGTTGGGCTGATCCAGTTGAGTACTGCCTTCATCCTAATTACAGATCAAGTATTAGAACAATCTCAGGCTCAGGTGGCAGCTTTCACACGGAAGTGTCCCACTGCACTTTGCGAGCAAACTGACAGATAAGCTAAACACTGGGGTCCCTTTATGCGCCACTTGGGGTGGAGGGGACACAGACGGTGCTGGCTGTGGCCGAGAGTTCAGTTCACCCGGATCTACCACAGACTTTCTGTCACCGTAAGCAAGCCACTTGGGGTCTGATTTTCAGGAGTGCCGAACGTCCGCCACTCCAGCTGAAGTCAATGGGAGTGGACCCCGCTCAGCGCCATACAGACCCCTGCATCTCCTTGGCCCTCTGAGCGAGCGCGAGGAGGACGCTGCCTTGCCTGGCACCGGGGGCGAGGTGCTCGGGTGAGCGGCGACGGGGACCGTGGCCATCCGACGCCGCCGTTTGCCAACCGAACCATCACCCCCCTACGCCCAGCACCCCCCCCCATAATCCCTCTCCCTGCACAGGCTTCCCCTGGGACTCAGGGAAACGGGGCCATTCACAGAGCGGTGGGGTGAGGCGCCCGGGGCCGGCACTGGCCTCCCAGAGGGAAACAGCCCCTGGGACTTGGTGGGTACCGAGGCCCAGCCCTGCTGGGTCCCCCCGCCTCAGGGCCCCCCGGCCCGTTCCCCCCCCGCCTCCCGGTCTGCCCCTCCCCCCGGCCCGTTCCCCCCCCGCCTCCCGGTCTGCCCCTCCCCCCGGCCCGTTCCCCCCTCCCCCCGGTTCCCCTCTGCCCCTCCCCCTCCTCTTCCCACCCCCCGGTCTGCCCCTCCCCCCGTTCCCCTCTGCCCCCCCCCGCCTCTCGGTCTGCCCCCCCGGGCCCCCGGTCTGACCTCCTCCCGGTTCCCCTCTGCCCCCCCACCTCGGGTCTGCCCCTCCCCCCTCCTCTTCCCACCCCCCGGTCTGCCCCTCCCCCCGTTCCCCTCTGCCCCCCCCCCCGCCTCTCGGTCTACCCCCCCTGGGCCCCCGGTCTGACCTCCTCCCGGTTCCCCTCTGCCCCTCCCCCGCCTCTCGGTCTACCCCCCTGGGCCCCCGGTCTGACCTCCTCCCGGTTCCCCTCTGCCCCCCCCCGCCTCTCGGTCTACCCCCCCTGGCCCCCCGGTCTGACCTCCTCCCGGTTCCCCTCTGCCCCCCCCCGCCTCTCGGTCTACCCCCCCTGGGCCCCCGGTCTGACCTCCTCCCGGTTCCCCTCTGCCCCCCCCGCCTCTCGGTCTACCCCCCCTGGGCCCCCGGTCTGACCTCCTCCCGGTTCCCCTCTGCCCCCCCCACCTCGGGTCTGCCCCTCCCCCTCCTCTTCCCACCCCCCGCTTTGCCCCTCCCCCCGTTCCCCAGGCCCGTTCCCCTCCCCCCCTCACCCTCCAGCGTGACAGCGTCGAGCTCGCGCTGCGGCGGCGGCTTCTCCCCGCCGGCCCCGTCCGCCGCCGCCGCCTCCTGCATCTCCACGTCCGGGGGCCCGGGCGGCGGCTCCTCGGGGGGCGGCTTGGCCTTGTCGGCGCCGGGGCGGCGGCGGGACGCGCCCTCCTGCTTCATGGCGGGGGGCGGGGGGGGCCCGGAGCTCGCGCGGCTCGCGGTGACGGTGCAACAATCGCGGGAGGAGGCGGCCGGCTCCGCCGCGAGGGGTGCTGGGAAAGGCCAGGCCCGGCCAGCCGAGCCCAGAGAGCGGGCGGAGGAGGAGTCAGAGGCAGGCCGGAGAAACCGAGCGCCGAGCGGGACGTCACCGCTCGGGCCGCGCGCCTCGGCTCAGCCCCAACGGCCGCCTGGCGTCTCCGTAATCACTCGGGTACTTCCGGCTCCGCTCGGGCATCTCCGTCACCAACTCGGGTACTTCCGGCTCCGCTCGGGCATCTCCCTCCTCGTCGGGTATTTCCGGTGTCGCTGTGACGCCTGAGGAGCTCGGCGCATGCGCGCCCCGGCCTTTTCTAGTTGGCGGAGGCGGGCTCGGGGGGGGGGAGGGGTCTGGCGAGTTACACAGAGGTGGGGTCTCCCGGGCCTTGCGCCCCCAAAGTGCCCCCTTCTGACGCGGAACCTGCCCATTCCCCCCTTCACCCGCCGGGACCCTCTTCCTCTCAGAGACCCCCTGCCCCCCTTCCCCCCCAGGGACCCCTCCCTCTCAGAGACCCCCTCCCCCCTTCCCCCCCAGGGACCCCTCCCTCTCAGAGACACCCCCTTCCCCCCCAGGGACCCCCTCCCTCTCAGAGACCCCCTCCCTCTCAGAGACCCCCCTTCCACCCCAGGGACCCCCTCCCTCTCAGAGACCCCCTGCCCCCCTTCCCCACCAGGGACCCCTCCCTCTCAGAGACACCCCCTTCCCCCCCAGGGACCCCCTCCCTCTCAGAGACCCCCTCCCCCTCAGAGACCCCCCCCTCCACCCCCGGGACCCCCTCCCTCTCAGAGACCCCTTCACCCCCGGGACCCCCTCCCTCTCAGAGACCCCCTTCACCCGCCAGGACCCCTCCCTCTCAGAGACCCCCTCCCCCCCTTCCCCCCCAGGGACCCCTCCCTCTCAGAGACACCCCCTTCCCCCCCAGGGACACCCTCCCTCTCAGAGACCCCCTTCCCCCCCAGGGACCCCTCCCTCTCAGAGACCCCCATCCCCCCCCAAGGCCTCCCCTTCACCCCAGGGATCCCCTCCCCTCAAAGAACCCCATTCCCCAGGGAAGACCCCTTCACCTGAGGAGATTCCCCCCTAATGGGACCCCCTTCCCTCCAGTGACTCCCTCCCTCACAGGGACCCCCCTCCCCCAGTGACCTTCTTTCCTCAGGGGAAACTCCTCAAGCTCCACTGTTGCTCCCGGTCTCCAAAAGGGTGAGGAACTCCTGGCCCCCCTCACCGTTCACCTTCCATTTGTTACTGGGGTTGTGCCCCAGCCTGACTGTGGCCCCGTTGGGCTGGGCGCTGCACAAACACCCGGCAAGATGCGGCCCTTGCTCCAGCGAGTTTCCAGTCCAGGTCTCAAGAAGAGCTTGGTGCCCGACAGTAAGCGCTCATGGGTGGTACTCACTGCAGGCGTTAGAGCCGTTATTAGGATTTGTTTTTTTATCCGGTTGCAGAGTTTTGTATGCGTCTCTGTTAAAAACAAAAGAACAGCCAGACTGGGTCAGACTTTGGTCTCCTGTCTTCCGACAGTGGCCAATGCCAAGTGCCCCAGAGGGAACGAACAGAACAGGGAATCATCAAGTGATCCATCCCCTGTCACTCATTCCCAGATTCTGACAAACAGAGGCTAGGGACATCATCCCTGCCCATCCTGGCTAATAGCTATTGATGGACTTGTCCTCCATGAACTTATCTAGTTCTTTTTTGAACCCTGTTATAGTCTTGGCCTTCACAATATCCTAAAGTTGGATGGAGTCCCCAATTTTTCCTGGCCTGGGGTGGTGCTGGAGTGAGGGGACGCAGGGTAGCAAGTCACCCGCATGCCAAAAGCCGCAATATCCAAATGTTACACTCCTTACGGTCTTGTGGAGCTTTGATCACGACTTCTGCCCATCTGCCACGACACATTGTAAATATGGTCTTATCTGTGTTAGAAAAGTTATGCCAGTATAACTGTGTGGTTAGACATGTGACTTTGTAAACCAATATTGTTACACCAATGTAAGTGCTTGTGTAGACAGTTATACCAGTATAAAGGTTCTCAATAATGGTATAGCATATTTCACTTCCCAAACTAGAATAGGCAATACCAATAAAAGCCCTTTTATACTGGTATAACTGCCCACACTAGGGAAGGGTCTGCTCCTTTAACTTTATGGGTATAGTTAATGTGAAACTTTCTAGGGTAGACAAGCCCATGGGATGCTTTATACAACAGACTTGACATTCACCCCCCAGGGACCTCAGGCCCTCTTCTTTGCAGTATCCCCAGGGGTCTTGGAAGGAGTGCAATGTGTGATTAGACAGGCGTAAGGTACCTGGAATTCAGAAGTAACGTAACATTAAGAAAATATTTTGAATTGCTCAGCTTATCAGTGAATAGATCCGTGTGTTTAAAAACATCTGCCATAACCCTCCAGAAAGGGATTGTTTTTATCTGTATTGTAGCAGTGCCCAGAGGCTCCAGTCAGGATCAGGGCTTCTTGGTATACAAACAGTCAAAAAAACCACCCCAGTCATATAAAAAAACCCAACCACCACCAGTGCAGTACAAAGAGGAGGAGGATATAGAATGTAAAAGTAAATAAGAAGGTTTTCAAATAGTAGTAGAAACACAGACAAAGACTATATTTATTGTGCATTATTTAAAGGTCAGTTTGTTTGGACTTTGTTGCCTTATGATTAATTTGGGGTGCAAAATGCACTTGTTACCAATAACAGGTTCGTTTTTTGGCAGCAACTTCAAGATTAAGTGTGAAGAAGATAATTGATGATACACACAGAGAAACTGAGTTTTATTAATACCATAATCAAAACTACAGAACTACAAAATCGTAGGGTTGTAGCTGTGTTTGTCCCAGGATATCAGAGAGACAATGTGGGTCAGATAATGTCTTTTATTGGACCAACTTTGGTGGGTGAAGGAGAGAAGTTTTCAAGCTACACAGAGCTCTTCTTCTGGAGGAGAACTCTCTGTAGCTCGAAAGGTTGTCTCTTTCACCATCAGAAGTTGGTCCAATAAGATATATTACCTTACCCACCTTATCAGAACTAGAAAAACAGGATAAAGATGACTTACCTCTGGCAGCTCCCGGTCAGTGGTGCAGCCAGGGTGCAAAGGCAGGCTTCATGCCCATTCTGGCACCGCGGACCGTGCCGCTCCTGAAGCGGCCAGCGGCAGGTCCAGCTCCTAGGCAGAGGTGCGCAAGCAGCTCTGCCCGGCTCTGGCCCGCAGGCGCACCCTCCAAAAAAAAAAAAAAAAAAAAAAAAAGCTCCCATTGGCCGGTTTTGCCAAAATATGGCAGACAAGCTCATGATGTCCTGGGCCATGGGTTGTCATGAGAGAACGTGTTTTAATTCTTGGTTCTGGTTTCTCACTTTCTTTGGCTGCCAGGCAACTTGCAACAGTCCCCTTCTCCCACCCACTGATCTAGAAGCAGCACTGAGGAGACATGAAGAGAGTCTCATCCAGATCAAAGAAAGGTTGCTACAGTGTATGGGTGTGTATAAAATTGGGGATTCTTTTTGTAGAGAAAAACTCACTTCCCATAATCAACCTCAGGAAATCTTTTTTCAGTCTTTCTATTGACATCCCTTCTAATGTGAGGAAAGGTGTCATGTCTAGTCTGATCTAGACAGAAGATGTAAAGCATACAAGGCTACATACAATGCTTTGAGGGCTGAGAAAGCTGCCAAGTCTCCAGTCCCAGTGAAAGAAGGTCCATTACTCTGTAGTGTTACTCCACCCAGCTCTATCATTGCCTTGGTTATGTTCAGTTCCTCCTCTTGCAGCGAGGAGACCAGCTTGGCATCCAGGCTGAAAGCTTCTTTCAGGTGCAAATCTTGCTTCAAGATGCTCTTGACCTTTGCAACAACAAAGAAGCAAAATCAAAATATTAAATCTCTGGCTGCTACAGGAATAAGCCTCTGTCAGAACTTCACCAGAGTCACTGCAGTGGATGAATAAATGATCTCTGTCTTTCAGTATGCAAAGTGCTCTGAGATCCTTGAAGGTGAAAAGTGCTGTGTGTAAATGTGCATTATTAGAACTAAGATTCTTATTTTCTGTTAAGATCATGATAAACACTTATTTCCAATTTTTCCTGGATTAGTTGTTCCCTAAAAGTGAGTATTTTGCCTTTAAAGCAGGAGCATGAGACACCAATGCAACCCACAGCTATGGTCTCCCAGTAACTGCTGAGTGAAGGTAAAACTGGGTGTGATGGGGTGGACTAGGCCCTGAGGCCCCCTGCTGGAGGCCTTGTGGCCCTGCCACACCCTGCCCCAGAAAAGGGCAGTAGAGAGGTCCTCCAAGATGCCTAGAGTGGCTGTGTGGGAAGCAGCCAATCAGGGACCAGCAGGGCAGTATAAGAAGAGCTGCAGGGCTAGAGAGAGTTCAGTTCCTTGCTAGAGCTGGAGGAGGGTGGCTGGTGCTCCAGGCTGGCTGCTGGGACTCTACAAGGACAAGGCCCTGAGGTAAGGGTGAAGAATGTGCTGGAGCCATGGGAAAGTGGCCAAGGGAATTATAGCAGCAACACCGTTTATTTAAAGGGACGTTATGGATGGCTGCTATCTACAGGGAACCTGGACTGCAACCTGGAGTGGAGGGTGGGCCCGGGTCCCCCCCCCAACCAGCTACTTGGAAAGTAGCCTGGACTTTGAGGCACCCCAGAAGGGGAACTGAACTGTAATGGCCCAGGTGAAGAGCTGGGGCCAGAAAGGCCCTGAGAGGGCGAAGCCATTGCCTCCAGTGAAGGAGCCTTGGGGCACTGTATTCTGGAGCAGGAACAAACAGAGAGACATTATAGAGGGCACTGAGAGAAGCCCTGTTAGACTTGTACCCTGAAAAGGTTTGCTTTGCTTTTATCTCACAGAGAGACTGTGTATGACTTGGCCGGTGGGCTGAGTCAGCAAAGACCCACCACAAACAGAGGGAGAGAGTGGAAGCACTCAGGCAGAGGGTGCTCACGAGAGGTGAGTGTGACCCCGTTACACTGGGCAACAGCATAGCTAGAACATGCTGAATTCAAATTACAAAGTAATTTCTGTTCATCTCTCAAGGAGAATAAAAATGCCAACAGTTGGTAGAGTTGCTTCTGTTCAGTTTTTTTAGACATATCCTGTATCTGCAATCTCGTGCCACCCATTGCTTCCTGGGTAGATGCCATGTGTCCCTCAGTGTCAGAAAATTTGGGCCTCCGTGTTTTAGTGGATCTCGCTGAAAGTGGGCAGTTATGGTCCCAGCCTTGTCTGAAGACTGTAGTAACCCTTCCTTTGCATCACTTCAAGCTGTGACGTTGCTGCTTATGCCCTGATCTAATCATAGCTTTGATTTAAAACCACAAAAGGGAAGACTTCATTGAGAGATATGTGGGGTGGTTTTTCACTGGCGTTCTCTCTCACCAGCTCAAGCTGTTTGGATACAATCTGCTTCTTCACAGACTGTGCCAGCCGCAATAACTGATCCGCAGTTAGCTCTGAAAAAGAAGAAATCATGTGAGGAAAAGGGTTTTTTTCTGGGCGGTAAGAGGGTAAGTGCAGAGGGTGGACAAGCCCAGGTGGATAACAATCAGTTGTCTGCACTCCCTTCTGATGATCTCAAAGCACTTTAATAATTTGACTAAATTAAGTTTTACTATCCTTGTGAGGGGGGTGAGTGGTTGAAATTACTATTCTCATTATGCAGATTGGGCCGCACAAGCAAGGGAGGAAGTGGCTTGCCCAAAGTCACAGAACAAGTGGTGGCAAAACTGAATAGAACTGGAGAGTCCTGATTCCCCCACTTCTGTTACTTAACCACCCTTTCTCAGGTTCTTGCTGAGGTTTCAGGTCCTCTGTGTTATATTCTGGGTTCTCCAATGCATTGTGTTTCCAAGTAGGTGCCTCAATATGAGGATTCTGCTAGGATGCCATAACGGGATGTAAACTCCATCACAATGCTATGTCTGGCAAATGGTACACTGTATTAGGTGGCACTGTCTGCCAAAAGCAGGTCCAAATTCTCAGCAGACTGTACCCTGCCGTAGCCAAGAATCTAAGGAATGTCTGAACCATGCAAGTTCTCCTTCATCGTTCATTCTGTTCTTAGTAGGCAGACTCATTTCTTATGTATTGGTGTGGTTGGGTGCCCCCATTAAAATACCCAGAACTTATTCTTACCACCAAGTGCTTGAAGAGTGTAGAGAACCGGCCCAGCAAGGTAAAGATTTATGTTTCCTGCAGAATCCTGTAAAGTGTTTAGCAAGTCTTCCAAGTCTGGATTCTCACTCTTTAGCTCACATTTATCAGCATCTTCAAAAGCCTCTTCTAGCTGTGGGTTAGGGGGGGAAAAAAGCTTCAGGACCGAGGATTGGGGGCTACTAAGAGAGACACTAATCCAGCGTGGTCATGTGAAGTACTGAAGTATGCATCTGACTATGCTGGGAGGAAAGCAGTGTTGGGAGACCACATTTTTCCTAACCTCAGCTATCTACTATAGCACAACTGGGGATTAGGGGAGTTGAATATTCATATTTGCTGCTGTAAGATACAGGATGCCGGATGAAATGGTCCATTGGCATATTCACATGTAGGAATTTCGGTGTGCCTTTTAAAATGATACTCATAGAAGTTAGACAAAAGAGGCCTACCAAGTAATTCTGCCCATCTTCCTTCCAGAGCAAGGCTGGGGTTTCGCGTTTAGTTTATCTACTTATATGGCAATGGGGACCAGATCAGAAGGTGTTGAACTGACAGATGGTCACAGGATAGGAAGGACCTCTGAGTGGGGGCGGGAGGTCTTTAAACTCATAATGACTGAAAAAAGGAGCTTTACCTTGAGTTTGAGTTCTTGCAAGAGGTCGATGTTTATTATCATGGCTATGATTGATTTTAAGAACTTGGCACGCAGATCTGTGGACAACTGTGAGAGCTCTGCACATTCCTTTTCAACTTCTCTCTGTAGGCCTTCCATTCCTCTATCTGAAAACAGCGGAGGAGAGTCAGAATGCAGGATTCCCTGCTTGTCCCAGTTCAAAAGGGTCAGATAGGACTCAAAATTTAGATGTGGAAAACTTAGATTTGGAAAGGCTTCTGTGAATATTCACAGAATCACACATTAGGTAATTAATAATACTTTGTTCTCAGTTAATGCCTCCTATCCAAGGATCTTGATGCGTTTTCTTATTAAAGTGAATATTTTTCTATGTTACAGAACTAACTTGTCCAAAGTCACAAGATGAGTTAATAACAGCCTAGAATAGAATACAAATCATCTCATTCTAATTCCTTCACTGAAAAAAGATTAGTCCACTAAAATATTTCTAAGCCATAGGTTAAGGGTAGTCTATATGAAATGCACAGCAGCATAAACCATTGCTTTGTCAAGGAATTTTGTATGATGATTGTCAGGTTTACACCACTTTACATTGACAAGTACAGTGAGATGAAATTGTTACATAATGACATCAAATTTTTGTTTACAGACATTCTGACGCTGCTTTCTGATAAGTGAGAAATATCCAAATCACATGAAAGTCAACATAAATTGTCACTGTCTTATATTTGCCACTTAAACTGTGTCAATTTTGATTTTCATGCTGTGGCATCTGGTGAAATTTCACATCCTGTATATGAGATCTCTGTATGAGAGATGACAAGAATATACCTTGTGAGCATGATTCCCCGCTCCTTTGAACTTTGTGTCATCACTTACCCCTGTGCAAACAATGTGTGCATCACTGAACACCTGTTCAGAATGTATGTAAAACATTTTAGTGGGTATGAGTCAGTTCTGAATTGGTAGCATTTTACATCCATTTTGCACAGGCGTTTGTGACTGTAAAGGTGAAAAATTGGAAAGCAGTCAGGCCCTGAAACTCAGTATACAGTCCAGAAACAAATCTTTATAACCTATGTGGTGCAGACATCAATCTATGGAGTAATATTTTTCTAGCTGGCTTGTGGATATTTCCATAGTCTGTGGGTACCTTTCTGGTAGTTTAGAGTGAAATGTTCTGAGACTCAAGCAGTGGGATGTCAAAAGAGGTGGGTCTGTGAGAGGATTTCTTTGTTATGAAGTGCTCTGCAGAGTGAAAAGTCTGGGAAATCTATGTATCTCTAGGTGGCTTCCCTGAGCAATGACTTATAAGGTCAGAACACCCTGAAACTATTTGTCTACATTGTATCCTGATGTCCGATGAGGATGTTATAAAGAGCTACCTACCTGGGGAGTAATCAGATTCCTCTGCTGGACCTGTGAAGGCAGAGAGGTGAAAGAAAAAGTAACTTAGAAGTTGAGCCCTTGTAATTATGAATTGTTGTCAACACCAATGTGCATTTATCTTTACTCCACTAAAAGGACTGTGTCCGTATAAAGGGTACGTATATTTGAGGAAAGCCATTATCCTTGTTAATAAATATAATTTTTCATGAACTGGCTAAAATAACCACTCTGGAGCCTTGTTTGCACTAAGGAAATTTTCAAAAAAATTCCCACTGTTGCTAAATTCAGCTACATCCGTATTAGCAACATTGGGGGCTTGTCTACATACAGATTGCACTGGTTTAAGATAATCTGAGACTAGATGATCATAATGGTCCTTTCTGACCTAAATATCTATGAATCTATGAGTTTAAAAACAGATTAAACTGGTGCAAAGCCCTGCAATGGATTAAAACTGGCTATATCAATTTAGTTTGCCCCTGAAATGTCGTGGTGCAAGGTAAACGGGCTCTAAGCCAGGATTAAATTGATACGTGTCCATACACAAAGTTACACTATTTTAACTGGTTTCAGAGTAACAGCCTTGTTAGTCTGTATTCGCAAAAAGAAAAGGAGTACTTGTGGCACCTTAGAGACTAACCAGTTTATTTGAGCATGAGCTTTCGTGAGCTACAGCTCATGCTCAAATAAATTGGTTAGTCTCTAAGGTGCCACAAGTACTCCTTTTCTTTTTACTATTTTAACTAAACTGATTTAAAAATCCTGGTTTAGAGGGAGAATCAACACAAACGAAGATAGCGAAGTGTTCTGTTTACCATCGGCAACAAATGTTTCATCATCTGGATAATGGGAAATGCCTGGGAAGATACAAAAAGGGAAATGACCATTTATAACCTTTGAAGAGTTATTTGATGCCTCAGGTTTTCACCAGCAGTATTTAAACCTGAAAATACCACTACCCCACTTGCAAATATCTGTTACATCTTGGGAAGTTCATTTCTAATGTGTTGCTTTTTTCCTCTCGTAGTGGATGAGTTTTGTGGATGATGCTTACCCCATGATTCACTTTGAATAATGAGAGGCTTGATTCTGAATGCCAAGACACAGTCCTTAGGGATAACTATGACTCTCTGGCTGCCTCTGGTGCCCTGGTTCATGGAAAGAGGAGTTAGCGAGCACACACAGCACAGAGATGTGCTAAAAAGAGGGGGCTGTTCTCCCCCCCCCCCCTGCATTTCCTGAATCTAGATAGAAATCGAACCTTTAATGAAAAATGGACACAGATCTCATTCAGAATGCTGCCTTCTATGGTACTGGACTTGGAAAATGTGGTCTCCTCCAAAGCCTGTACAGCCTCATTGATCACGTACAAGTTCTCTCTGCGCTTCCTTAAACCCTCAATGAAGGAATGGTCCATGTTGATTTTCCTAAAAAAAGAAGTGAACTCTGCATCACTACTGAGTTTCTTTCTGTAGGTTACTGTACAGTCTTGACACTGGCTGGCTCCCCTTATTCTTGAATTTGCCACTCTGGGGGCAGAGAGCAAGATGAAAGCTGGGTTAAGTGTCCACCAGGGAATTCCCCTGATCTAAGCAGAATCCCTGAGTTCACAAAGCCATGGAAGCCTCTATTCCATCTCCTTTCATAGTGCTGATGAGAGGTGTGGCCAGGGGAAATGAGATGTGGCCCTGTTACAGCTACTCTCAGCAGCTGACATGGGCCCATGGGCAGCAGCTGCATAAATTAGAGCAGTCCTTCCTTCCCCCCCATTTCTGCCAGCCTCACCTTTCTCCTTGTAGCATCATAAGGTCTGCTGGGCTGACCTCTACTCTTTTCACCTTGATGGACTTCCCTTGGTAGGTGCTGGTAGCTCCTGTCACTTCCGTTCTCACAAAGTCATCAGGCAGCTTAATAGTCCACGCTACTGTGCCATCAATGTAATCCTTAACAGTGATCGAGCGTGAATCCTGAACATCTGGGGTGGGGGGAAGAGAAACCCTGCAAGAGTTAACACATTCTCTTTGTACCACTAATATGTAATTATGGCCCATAGCTCCTGTGCACACAGGAAGGATGAGGCCTGACAGAGTTCAGACACAAGCAGCATGGTTCCCTAGCCAGTCACTGAAAGAAAACAGCCTCTCAAGCCCAGGCTGCTGCAGGCAGTGTTGCCACACTGGACAGGTAAATAATGTGGGAAGACTGGCATTACCTGGATTTCTGCTGTCCTGTCCAGGTACCAGAACGTCACAGAGCCTAAATCCTGTTTTGTAGTAGCAGTGCTGAGTCCTCCATAATCTCTTTTTTGGTTGCCTTCGAACGAGGTTTAGGGGTCTGAATTGATCTTGGTCGATAAGGCTGCAAACTGGGATCAGATCTCCATCGTGAGCCAGCTGCTTTGCCAGGTCTTTGGTTACCTTGTGAAACATCCTGTCTGCAGCCTGATGTACCCTTTAACTGAAGCACAATGTACTTTTACCTTAGGAGGCAAAGACAAGTGAAGCAAACACATCTGAAATCAGCTGGAGGTTGCAGCAAGGTATCTTGCTCTTTGACAGCAAGTTTTACCTGCTCAGAGCTCTTAAAAACAAGCAAAAAACCTAAGGCCCTGTTGACCAAAATTATGTTGATCTAGCTTATGCCGGCATACAGCCATTGTTGTTATTAAATCACTTGTGTGAGTGCACACTGGGAACGTTGTGTCAGCAGTGTGTGTCCTCAACAGGAGAGCTTGCATTGATTGCATTGTCAGGGGGCAACATTGTGGGACTGCTCCTGGAGACCAGTAACAGTTGATGTAAGCAACAGGGTCTACATTGACACTGTGTCCACCTAATTACCTTGACTGTGACTCTACGCTGCTTGGCGAGGTGCTGTTACTAAATTGGCGTAGAGACGCACTTACGTGGGTGGGAGCCAAATTTAAGTGAAGACACTGCCACAGCTAGGTCGACACATGCCAGTGCAGAAAGGCCTAAGCTCCACAAATGGCCTGTGGGATGGGCCACGGTTATTACACCCAGTTAGAGAGACGTGATTTGCCCAAGATCAGACACAGTGAGTCAGTTCAAGAGTTGTGAGCAGGACCTACATCTCCCAAAGTAGGTTCATTTAATCATATCCTTGCAAATCGTATCCTGTATACTTTCTGATCATGGGCAGGGAGTGGAGCCCCCCTTTAGGGAAAGTGAGCCCTTGGCTCTGCCCCCCCACCATGACCTCTCCCCATAGCTGGAGCCCCGAAACCCCCTTCCCCGCGGCTGGAGCCATGAGTCCTTCCTCCCCGCCAGAGGTGCCCTGAGCACCCCCCTCCCCGCCCGCAGTCTTCTCAGAGGAGCCCCAGGCCAGTCCCAGCCATACCTCCCCCCCCTCCCCAAGCTGTCCCAGGGAAAAGCCTCTCATTCTTGTCCGAAGAAGCTTCTGATATGCCTCATGCAGGTTCCGGGGTGGCTGAGGAGGTGATATTTGCTACTCAGCTTCCTGGTTTCAGAGTAACAGCCATGTTAGTCTGTATTCGCAAAAAGAAAAGGAGTACTTGTGGCACCTTAGAGACTAACCAATTTATTTGAGCATGAGCTTTCGTGAGCTCATGCTCAAATAAATTGGTTAGTCTCTAAGGTGCCACAAGTACTCCTTTTCTTTCAGCTTCCTGGGTTCATCAATAATGTTTCTCAAGACCTGGGAGATTACTGATGAACCTGGGAAACTGAATAGCATATGCCGCTTCAGCCACCCGGAATCTGCATGGGACATAATCAAAAACTTCCCCCAAAACCCTGCAACCAGGGGTTGGGCAGCACCCCAGCCCTGGCCTATTATACCCGCCGCCCACGTCTCTGATCATGTAGATTGTTTAGGGTCAGAGGATGAAATTAGTTTCTAAACGAACTTGATCATTACTCCCCTGCGATGGGTGAACAATACAAATGAAATTTCTTGAATGACAACAGATTAGTTGAAGAGGATTCCAGACAATGTTGTCCTCTCCCAGTGCTGGGATTCTAGCAGCCCACTACACCTTATCCTTAAAAACAACTGTCGCCAGCAAGCATTCAGCTTGAACCATCAACATCCAAATTTCATGAAATAAAGAGCTAGAGAATTTTCTTGCTGCAAAGAGCTTATGATCTAAGGAGGGCAATAATAAATAATTAGCTATTGTGCAGGTACTTTTCATCAGTAGATCCAAGAACACAAAGGTAGGTTGCTGTCACTGGCATTTCACAGAGAGGGAAACTGAAGCATAGAGTAGATATAACTTGCCCAAGGTCACAGAGCGAGTCAGTGGCAGAGCTGGGGATAGAGCCTGGAAGTTTTCACTTCTGGTATCTTGCTCTAACCACTAGACCCAGACCTTCCAGAGCTCGCAATCCACAGCCCAGTGCCCTAGGGAAAGGCAGAGCAGTCAAAGATCTGGACAACAAACACTGATTAATGGATGCTGCATATAATAATTCCAATACAGAGATTTAAAAAATGTTTTCAAAATGATTCACTAGTTTCGTTTTGGAATTGTAGAGGGGGAGTTCACATAACTCCCCACACAGGTTTGGAGACAGTCTGTCTCATTCTGTGCCAGTTACCCCAGCATGAACATACAGGACTGGATGTTGTTAGCTTAGGTCAATAATAGGGAGCATGGAAGCTGAGAGCTTCCCTATCCTCACAGCTGGGAGTTAAACATCTGGCTGGGGCAAAAAGGAAACTAGTGCCCTCCAGGCAACATCCCTTTTCAGGTCTGTCTCATGAGCTCACCTCTGCCCCCACTTTTCTCTGTACTTTGACCATCATCTCAAGTATTAGGATGTGGAGGGCATAGGAAAGGACAAAGTAATGTGATCGTAATTTACAGAACTAAACTTGCCCAGACAGAAGAAAGTTATATGCTTTTGCTCTGTGCCCAGTGAAGTTTCCCCTCATGGCTGGGATTCAGCTCCTATGAAGAAGGACAGAAGGGTTGCTCCTCCTCACCTTTATACTTCAGGTTAATACTGTCCACCCCTCCTGAAAAAAAAATCACTGTTCTTTTCTTCCTGTGTTTTACATAACTTGCTTTACTCATAGCCCATAAGTGGTGGTTCTTTTTAAAACCAAACACTCCAGGAGCATGGATTTGTTTAAAGAGCAGAAAGGCATTGATTAGAAACCAAAGGGGGCAGGGTCTTTCTTTTGTGCTCCAGTCGAACAAGGAATAGCCCTCCCCCTACTGGTATTACCCTAAGCTTGCATCATTATTTCAGTCTCTTGATTAAACACTTACCACTCTGCCTGAACACTTGGCAGGACCAGTTTGTTAGTGGTGTGATCAGCTATGTCTCTCCTCGTCTCAGCATGGCCTCTTAGAGTTTCCTTTTTCAGCAGCTGAAATTAAAAAAACCCTGATTCCTCTCTACTTCCTGTGACAGTACAGGAAGTGGTTGCCTGAACCGACCTGCCGAAGTGTGGGGTTGTTTTTTTTTGCTTTCAATTCTGCCTCCAAGCAGCTGGTCCTCTCGTTTTTTTTCCATCTCAGCATTTTGGCAAACTTTCTGCAAACTCCTGTTTGGCGTTGCTTGTCCTACGTCAGGCCCAGAAGCTGTCCTGTGGACTTGGACAACGTGCCTCCTCCAGAGTACGACAGTGCCACTTCACGGTGTCATCTCCAGCAGCGACAGGCCCCAGCAGCATGCCCTGCTCGGTATGGAGCCTTGTGAGAGAAGCAAATGGGCGGACGTGGCGTGGTGGATTGCATGTTTTACACCCCATCAGTTGTATATACAAAATTATGTGGACACTTTATACTTTTGGGGCGACATCATATAAGAAAGGAACCTAGACAGATTAACTCATCCCCTCTGCAGACTGACTCTTTAAATGGGCAAAAACTGGACCTCCAATGTGAAAATACCCCCAGGCTCAGATGGCAGAGGCAGTGTGAGGGGTGTTTGCTTATAAAAAAAACATTGCTCCAGCTGGGCAGGAAGGTGAAAAGCCAGCTCGAGAACCAGCGTGCACACTTATGATACTCCTTTCGACAGTCTCATGATCAGGCTCTTAAGAGTTTGAACTCTTTGGGCAGCATTGGTTTATTTGTTCTGTGTTTGTACAGCACCCAGTTAGTGTCTCTGCTGTTGCTCCCTGCCCAGTTACTGCTGCTTCCCCACCAGTCCCACACAGACCTGCTTCCAGCTGTAATGTCCAGCCGTCACAGCCTGTTTCACATGCAGCTCTGCATCTGTTCCTGCCTCCAGCACAGCTCATGACAGAGCTTGGCCACTTCCTCCTTCACCACCCTTCCCCTTATCTGGCCTGCGGCTCAGGGAAAAGGGACATGCAGTGGGGGTTGGCGGGCGGTGTAGTCCCCTGCATAGACCCAGCTATGTCACTGTGATGTTCTGTACCTTGGGGGAACACCCTACACCCCCATGTTCATCCTTATGATTGTGTGATATCCAATGCAAAGTTTGTCATGTCGGGTGTCTTCAGAAGGCTCATGATTCACTGAGCATTGTTGTTATAGTAATGTTATAGGTTGTAATTTCATGTATATAGTTATGAGGCTGAAAATGTGTTCTCATGGCTTAAAACACGCCCAGGTGAAACTCTCCAGGAGTAGAGGGGCAGTTCACATCTCATCAGGGCACGTATGGGACAAACCCAGCCCCGCCTCACAGGAACAAAGAACACTGGCCTAGGCAGCAACAAAGGATCTGTTGGACTCTCAAGTGAGTCACCCCCCCTTCCCTTGGTCAGTTTGAGACTACAATGAAGTAATACTCACCTGACTCTGAAGAGGGGGGGCAAAGCGAAGAGGGAAGAAAGGGAGAGATGTTTGCCATGCTACAGACACCACCACCAAGTGACTGAAGCGCTGATCAAAGGGGAGAGCCTGGCTGAAGGGCAACCAGCCAGCCTGTGTTGAGAAGCATCTAAATTTGTAAGGGCATTGAAAGTGTTAAGATCAGCTTAGATTGCGTTTTGCTTTTATTTCATTTGACCAAATCTGACTTGTGCTTTGGTTTATAATCACTTACAATCTATCTTTTGTAGTTAATAAATTCGTTTGTTTATTCTACCTGAAGCAGTGTGTTTGGTTTGAAGCTTGTCACAGATACTCCTTGGGATAACAAGCCTGGTACATATCAATTTCTTTGTTAAGTTGATGAACTCATATAAGCTTGCAGCATCCAGTGGGCATAACTGGACCCTGCAAGACAGAGGTTCCTAGGGTTGTCTCTGGGACTGGAGATATGTCATTCAGTTGCAGAATCCAAGCAGCAGCTGGCCAAAAGGGCTCACTCGTAGCTGGGAGCAGCTTACATACCAGAGGCTGTGCGTGAACAGCCCAGGAGCGGGGTTCTCACAGCAGAGCAGGGTAAGGCTGGCTCTCAGAGCCGAGGATTGGAGTGACCTAGCAGATCACTGGTCTGGATAACACCAGGGGAATGTCACAGTCACCCAAAAGCAACATCCAGGATCAGGCAGGGGGTGAGGCAAATTCGTGTGCTGGCTCCATGTATCACACAGTGTGAGAAGAACAAAGACTAGAACCAGCAGGAGCCCCAAAGACATAAGCCAGGAAGCATCTCCATTAAGCAGGGGGCCTGGTTAAGGATTATTGGCTCCAGCCCACCACTGAGAAAATATCGATGTCAATGAACCGGGTGCCCGCCCTCTCCGCTACACAAAACTAACCAGCCCGGCTGGGCTCTGAGGTAGAGCTTCCTGTCTTCCCCCACATGCTGCCAGATGAGTCTGATGAGTGTAACTGCCCAGGCTGCTAACTCAGTTCTCCTGGCTCAAACAACATCTCTCTTGCACCAGATGTGAGCCAGAAGGCTCCGTGCTCATGGAGGCATCATCCGAGGTGCCCCGTGTTGCTGGTGTCGATTCTTAGAGATTTGCGTCCACCCATTAACCTAATGGCCTGATGCATTGTAACCCCCCCTGCCCCATTGCAGCTTTGTCCTGGTCAGAGATCTGCAGGGTGCATGCATTTCTGATTCGTTTCAAGGCACTGACTTGTAACCTGCAAAGCGCCCCAGGGCTTTGGACTGCTGCATCTTTTCTATGTAGGTTCTCCTGCTGCCCTCAGCACTGTAGTATGTGAGTACCTGCCTGTCATGCCTTAACCAACATATCCTGCACTTGTTCTCTCACCCTCCCCCCAGGGAGACAAGTATGTGCAGGGCCATGTTTTGTTTTGGAACTTTTGGGGGACTTCTCTCAGGACCGCCCCCTTCTGCTGCCACATGATCCCACTGCAGCTGGGACCCTTGAATTTGCCCTCCTTCCCCAGTTAAACTAGAGCAAGCTGGCAGCAGGATGTTGTCAGTGACTCTGGAATCCACACTCCTTCGTGGCCTGCCACAGCCTGGATTTGCCAACACTCAGGCCCTGCTGCAACAGGCTGATCGCTGCTTCCAGGCCTTTCCTGAGAGGGCAAGTTGAACACGGCCTGGGAGCAGAGGGTGGGGTCCAGCTTTATTGTGGTCTGGGGGTTGAGCTGAGTGTCTGTAAGCATCTTCCCAGCCTGTGAATCAGCCAGAAACCAACCAACTCACCTCCTGCTTTTCAAACGGAAGATCAGACGATTATCCCAACCAGGACTTTATACATTTCTGCCCCTATGTGGGCCTGGGGTGGTGCCTGCCTCCAGTTGCCTAGATTTTTATGGCCAAAGGGCCCATTCTGACCATTTAATCTGGCATCGTGCAGGCCTGAGAATCTCTCCCAGCAATTCCTGCCTCCAGCCCAACAGGTGATTGAATGAGAACATCTTTTAAAGACAACCACTTTCCATTTGACAACTCCAAGTGATGGAGAATCCATCTGATCGCTCATGGATCTGTTCCAACAGCTGATTTTCCTCGCTGCTAAAAATATGCATCTTATTTCCAGTTTGCACTTTGCATACCTCAACCTCCAGCTCTTGGCTCTTGTTATGCCTTTATCAGCAAGGGGATAGGAAAAGCCAAATTAAGTTACCAGCATAGGTTTGCGATCTGATACTCATTTGCCATTTACTGGTTTCCCCCACTCTTGGCAGTACAGTTTGCGATTAAAATGAAATTGATTCGCATACATATCACATGTAAAGAGCCCACACAGGTTGTTACATGAATACTGACCTTTATTAGTTTCTCTTAGAATACTGTACAAAGGAGTAATAAAAATAATATTCACACTTTGTCTTAGAAAGTTCCTCTAGATGAAACTTTTTTGTATACCCCAAAATGAGAGGGAACTGGAAAAAACAACGAAACTTCTATGTACAATGCAAGAAGGTTCCATACAAAACGGATTTAGCTCGCTGAAGTTGATCCAAAGAGTGTATTTTGTGCACCTATTTTATGCACGATGGTAAATCAAGCAATCTCACTGCTATTAAAGAAAATCATAATATGCAATAGGAGATTCTGACTGGGTGCGACTGCCAACAGTGACCCAGCTGTTGTCCCCTCTTTGAGGACCAGTACCGTTCTTTTAATATTTAAATTATTTTTAAACTGCAGCTGCTGCTTTAAATAAATCCTCATTGACTAAACAGCCTTAGATCTCGGGGGGTGGGGTGAGGAGAGAAGGCTCCAGTCTTGCACTTGGACCACGTGGAAGGGCTGTATAGCGTCAGGTTAAAAATCCAGCTGCTGGAATCCAATTGCGAGACTGGGGCCTTCACTCAGCAACGCCAAGCTGTTGTTCCGTATCTTCTCCAAGCGGGAAGATGCCCTTTCTGTGCTATATGGACAAGCGCACAGTTCTCTCAGTGGTGGATGAAAAAGGCTTCCCAGCAACAAGAGCAGGCAACACGAAAGACTTGTGTCAGGCCAATGTCTGTGAACTGGTCTATTATTATAGATTTTAAAACCCCTCGTTTCTTTATTGCTTCTCTGTGTCCACAACAGACAAAACTACATTGAAAAGCATTAGCTGTACTGAAATTCACACCTACCGCTATGCAGGGAGCCAGCACAAGGCCTGGGGGAAGATTTTCCCAAGGGCCTAAGTGATTTAGGCACATAAATCCCATTGAAAGTCAAGGGTCTAACTCACTTAGGTGCTTTACACAAGGGTTGAATTCCACTCTGGGACCACCACACTTGGCTGCAGCCATATTAGAGAGTCTTGAGCACTTAAAATTCCTGCAAACTTCCCCACCCTGGGGTGCACGCAATCCCTCTTCTCCCCAAAGAGCTTCCTTGGTGTGTGCGCCATTTTCTCCAACTCTCCATGGCCTGAGTGGCCCTTCATCATTTGTCTTCTGATTCAGAGCTGCCATCTCTGGCCCATTTCACACCCACCCCTGTTTTATAAAAGTGGTTTCAATGCAAAGTTTCAGGAAATCTACAGTGTGGTTTGTTCGGTAATGTTTGGACTAGCGTTTCATGGCTTTTTCCTCTCAGATCACCTACGAGTGCCTCGTGAAGGGGGCTGTTCCCCATCACTGCACACTCAGACTCCCCCTTCTGAGTGACATTTTAATGGAAACTCCCCCTGCACACGGAGGGGGAACAGATCTCTGATACATAATTATGCATCGCTCTTTTTAAAAGTTAACAGTTTAAAAGAGATTTCGGTTAAGTCCTAGTGCCTGATTCCCCTCTCACTTGAGCCAAGTAAGGCCCTGATTCAGCACAACACTTAAGTGTGTGCTTAAATTCCATTGACTTCTGTGTGTCTTAAGCACATGCTGAAGTGCTTCACGGAAACGGTTTTCACTGAAATGCTCATAAAAGAGAAATCATTAGACTTGCCTATGAATGTCACATCTTTGTAAACCCGTTGAGGAAAACGCTCACTCCGGGTTTTAAACTGCCCCCCTGAAGAGATCACGATTTTCAGTAGCTTTACATTTCATCATTAATTTAACAGAACTGATTACACATGACCAGTGTCACTGAACCTGCAAACAGTGCAGGTCCAGACCCCAGCTGATGTAGGTCTGCCAAGCTTCACCACTCCACAGCGGCCAAGGGCCTGGTGCCTAGCGTCTGCTTACATTTCTGCTACAAAATCACTTCAGCTTTCCATAGTTTACATGCATGAGAGAGAGGGAGGGAGAGAAGGCAGAACCTACATGTATCCAGGAACAATGGTTTTAAGCAAATAAAGAAAAAAAAAAGTCTTTATTTATGGTGGGTTTTTTGCAAAAACACAAGGATAAAGTGATTCCTGCCCCACTTCTCTGGGTCAAGATTCCCACCTTTAAAGTAACTATTTTGTCTCTAGTTAGGTTTCTATTTGTCCCCAAAGCTAGATTAACATCACGCTGCGTGTTCCATCTCTTTCACTGGAGAAGGTTCAGCATCAGCATTGTAATTCTGTGACCTGCCAGACCTCTGCATTTGTCCAGCAGCGTGCACCTTAGACTAGGCACATCACCCCAGCAGTCTGGGCGAAGGTACTGTCTCTGCAGAGCAGAAGCCTGCCGTCTCACCGTTGCCATCTGAGGCATGTATCTACAATGTTCATTTCTGAATCCACTCAGACATTCTCACCAGAAAATAGCACTTGCCTAAAACTATTTTTTCCCAGAAGTCACCAGCTAGTAGCTTGAAAAGTGCACTAGCCCTGGGGTATACAGTACATTAACCAAAGCAACCATCCACTCCCAGCCACGTCAGAGATGGGGGGGTGGGGGGGAAAGGAAGAGCCTTGTATTAAATAAATTAACCTTCTGCATTTGACAGGCTCCATTTTTCAGTAACCCAAAGCAGGTTCTCTCCTCCGCCATCAGCTAATTCTTCTCACCATCTTCCTTTTCACTAATACTTACAGGAGCATTCCCGTCTTTGAAGCGCTTAAGAGACAATGGCTAAATAAGCCTCACAACAGCCCTGTGAGGTAGGTTGATTATTTCTCCCCCCTCTGTGGGGTACAAATGATGGACCGGGGGCAGAGAGGTTAAGCAGTTCACCCAAAGGCAGGTGAGGAGTCAGTACAAGGGCTGAGATTCAAATTTGGGAATTCCTGTCTCCCAGTCCTGTGCTTGGACCCTTAGATCAGGTCTAAACTTCATCAATAGTATCCACTGTACTACTTGCTCAGTTCCAGAGCTACATCTGCCTAATGCAGGAACTAAAATGTCTTCTTTAAAACGTTTACACTGTCAGAAAACTCCAGACAATCAAAACACCACCACCAACAAAGTCACCTTCATGAATGTGCAAGGGTGTCGTGAAAAATATAAACAAAGGCATATTTCAACCAGCATATTGACCCTCTAGAAAATCCTACGGTTACAAAGAGTGGACAGCTACCCCAGCCACTAGGGGCCAATTCTGTTGCTAACCCTTTGCTCTAGCTGGCAAATTTTTTTTGGCCGGGGGGTGGTGGGGGGGGGGGGGAGGAAGGAGGGCGAGATTCAGTGTTGCAACTATGCTTCATCCTTGGTTATCCAAACCTCCCTGTTACATTGGAAATGCCCTCCACCCCCCATCTACTAATTACAAGCCTCTCATTTACCCCAATCAGTGATTATCAAAACTTTATTCAACAATCTCTTTCCACACTGGGATTATTGCATTTCTACTGCAGACTATACTTAAATTAAAAATCCCACCTTGTCCTCCAAACCAGCTCCTGACTCTGTGGATAACTAGCTTGTCTGTTAACAGCCACTTAGTAGAAACACACACATGCTTTACTAGGTAGGGTTCCCTCCCGCACACCAATGCAGGGAGCAGAAACCGGGATCGCTCCACTGAGCAGCCTGAAATAAGCTCCTGATGCATAAACAAAATCAAACCAGTTAGAAACAGAAGGTTGGTTAGTCAGCTCCCCTTGCAGTTTAACTTCCCCCTGCAAAGCTGCATTGCCCCTCACTCTTGGGCTGCAAGTTCCACCCACTAATGGACAGGTGCCGTACCCCACCTCTGGATCTAGCCACCAGTTCAGGGGCAGAACGGCAGGGCTTTGGATTTAAACAAGTACAACAAATCTGGACAATGAAGGCGGCAGCGAAGCAAGAGTTGGTCGTCTTCCTGCTGTGCCCAACACCTTCACTGTCCAAACCCGGACAGGTGGGTAGCCCTCTGCAGCCATGGTCGGGGGATGCGACAGACCGCACATCTCAGATTTTCTATGCCACCGATCAGTTAAATGCTTCAACGACTGGTCAGATCCATTGCCCTCTTGCTGGCCTGCCACATTTGCCGTCTGCTCCTGCCTTCACTTAGCAACATGGCCCCATTACAATATTCCTGTTCTACAGCTCCTTTAACCTGGCTTGTGGCTCATAGTCTGCTGCTGACAGGTCATCAGCCCAGCCAGAAGTCCGAGAGCGGTTTTCTGCATGGGCTGTCACATGCGGAGATGTGCCCGCCACTGGTATTTGGCAAATGCCAGTGATCTAGATCTAGACACTGGAGACCTGGGCAAAGGGGGCGGAAGACCAAGACCCATTTAAACCGATCACAGTCACCTCTCTGCCTGTACCAGCCCCCCATTACCGTGCCTGACGACAATCCATCCTTCACCTAGAGCAAGCCTGTCAGTCATCAGCCTTTCCCCCTTCCCCGAGCTCCACGTCAGGCGACTCAGATCACTCTGATGGGCAGAGTTAACATTTTTAATCACACCTCTTAGCCCTAGGTGGCAGTAGGATTAAGGGTAACACTGCGGGGCTGCATGTGATGGGGGAGAACATTCCCCCTCGCCCCATCACACACTCTTGAAAATATAACCACTTCCGCTTTAAACAAAGACAGACTTTGGTTATAGTTTAAACTAACAGAAACAACTTGGAATCCAATCCCCCCCCCCCCAATCATACAAACTGTACCGTGGAAAACGGGAAAGCTCTGCTAGAAATGCCAGGTCGCTCCTTCCTGTTTTCTCATTAGAAAAAATTATTCCCTCCCCAGCGGGAGGAGAGAGGTTTAAGAATAAAATCCACCTCCCAAAATTAAAGTGGCCAACTATTTTTTCACACCTGGGAAATCTGGCCATGCCCCCCTTTAATTTCCCCACGTAGCCCTTTGTGAGTGCATCTAACCTCAAAAAGGGCCAATGTATTTTAAAGTGCATTTGCCATAGTAATAACTACTAGCTCTTAAAGCTTTCTCCCAACCCCTGCTGTTTCCATTCAGCGTATTGGAGTCTCCCGGAGACTGACCTATTTGTACCTTGACATCACGGTCTATCTGCATCTACTCATGGTACAGGAGCACAAGAAGTCCACCCCCCCAGTCTCCTGCCTCCAAGCTAAACTCTACTCAGGATTCTGCTACTCCAGAGTTTGCTTAGATTTATTGGGCTTGAGGATCCTGCATGCGGTATACATGTCTATTGGATACTGCATTTAAAGAGCCGCTGTGAAATTATATCCTGGTTTGGGGGGGAGGGAGGACTAAGAAGACCGGATTTCCCCTTCCACTTCTGCTCACTGCATCCAGGGGGCTCAGTACTTGTTGATCCCAAAGATACGGACTCCATGGAGCTGGGGCAGCTTGGGGATTAAGACGCTCATCAGGGAGATGGTGTTGATTATGAAGTGTATCCGGTCATATTTCGTGTAGAAACTGGTGAGGAAATACCTAGGGGAGAGAGAGAAGCGGAAGTTGAATCACAGCTACCCACAGCTTCCATCACTCCCCGGGGCTGATCTCAGGAGAGATACTGGTAGCAAGTGACTCATTGACTGCTTTTCCTGCTACAACCCATACTGCGCCCGCTAGCCGACCCCACCTCTGAATCTAGCCACCGGCTCAGGGTAGGGAGGCAGGGCTTCAGATTAGCCCACCACAGCAAAGCTGGGTCAGCTAAAACAAACAACAAGGATCTGGTTTCTAGCAGCTAGTGAACCCCGATTCCAAAGTGGATTTAGTCTCACACTGGAGGAATCTCAGTCTCTCTCCTCTTCTGGCCATGAGCTCTGGTCCCAAAAGACTTGAAACAGCTGAGAAACTTTGCACCAGTAGCTAGTGTGCACTTCCAGCAACGGACGCGGCAGAGACTGGCCCTTCAGAAATATCTTCAGTCGATGTGATGGAGCCTACCCTACACCCCTCGCACTGTGGATGGCTAGAAAACAACATTTCCCAGCAGCGATTACATCAGTCAGAACTGAAATGTGGGTGGCAGGGGAGCGAGGGGGAAGAGAGCGGTGAAAAGCAAGATGTTCCCCTTGTTGATGTGATTTTACAGTCTGATCCAGACTCCAACGCTTCACTCCACTGGGACTCTGCAGACTTTGGATGCTCTAAAGAATTTCTCCATCACACTAAACACAAACTACTTGTCTTTGCTTTCAGAGCCCCTTACGGCCTCTCCCACCCTACTTCTCTCTCATTCCCTCCTGAGAGTTTGACACCTGCCTCCAGTAAAGCCAGGGTGCCAGCCTTCACTGCCCATCTGTTAGATTTTCAGAAGAGCACCTTCATGCTTCTCCCTTGCTGCCCCTTGTGCTGGGAAGGAATTCCCCATAAAAATCCACAAAGCCATCTCATCGCCCCCCACCAAATCCCTTCTGCCATGAGGCCAAATCCAATACCCCTGGTCTGGAGGCTAGATTCAGCGATGGGGTCAGTTAGTGAGTGTAACTTGACAACAGTCAAGCTGCTGGTGGGCTGAAACTATTGCCTGTTGGTCTCATAGAGCTTGCCCCAAACCATCCCTAGAGTATCCACTTGTCTCTTGTCTTATATGTAGATTGTTCACTGGGGCGGGGGGGGGAAGACAGAGACAGTCTTTTTGTTCTGTATCTGTACAGCACCTGGCACAATGGGGTCCTGGGTCTGTGACTGGGGCTCTTAGCTGCTACCATAATACACATAAATAACCTTAACGTTAATAAGAATAATTTTAATCACTGCCAGCCCTGCTGACTTGTGAGATAGTGGACCTTCGAAGTGCATCAGGGCTGCACTCGTCTCTTTCTATCAGTGCTTTTTATTGGCCTGACCCAGGCTGAATAGCACCGTGACACAAGCTCAAAGCAGATCCCCAAGACATCCACGCCAGGAGTGGTGGACAGCAGCACAGATACAAGTGGGCTACGGATACTGTGAATAAATCGGTTATTGCAACATACGTGGATCTGCTTTTAGGCCACTGAGCTAGCATTGTTTTTGGAGGACAATGGAGGGCTTTAGCTTCGTTCGACAGGGTGCCACTGCGACCCGCCAGCCCGCCCGAAGTACTCACAACACGATGGGCGTGATGGTCAGGAACTTGCGCGATGCCGTGAACTGCACCCCATAGTCCATCTGCTCCCAGTGCGTGAGCAACCGGGCCTTCCCCTGGTCTGGAGTCTCAAAGGGCGTTCCTTTCACGGTGTGCAGGAAGATGTACATGCTCTGTAGCAAGCAGGAGCAGAAGGTAAAACTTGTGTAGCCCTCTGAGACCGGGTGTCTGGAGAGATTCATTTGAACTCAGCCAACAACTCATCCCTAGGAAACCTCTTACACTCGCAAGCTGCAAGCCAGGGCTGTGTCACTAGGGGGAGCTGTTGTCATCTGAGTTTTTTTTTGGGGGGGGCATTGGCAATTAGGGTCCCACAGGATATGAGCCAGTTACAGCCCAGCGAGGAAGCCTGCGTTCTTGAGCTCAAGCTGTAGCAGCTCCTGGTTCTAGCTCTGGAGCTCCCTGGTGCCCTGGCCAAGGTGGTGACAGCCACATTAGGAAATTCAGATCCCCAGCATCAAAGGAGAATATGGAGTGGAATCAAACTTCAGTATCGCATCCCTTCCTGATGCACAGACTTAGGCGTGAACATGGCCATGCAGTTGCACAGACAATATCAGGTGCTTCCTGCCTGTCGGCCAGGAGAAAGCCTTTGAAATGGAACAGCCACAGACTCGTTGCCCTCGGCCCTGCGTTGCATGTTAGTGGTGTATGCTGAGAGTGGCATCTCCCAGGCTCTATTCCCAGTTCTAACCTCAACTGACATTTCATCCCTACGTGCCACAGTTCCCTCAGTCAGCTCAGTGGACTGAACACTGCACTGGGCACTCAGGAACCCTGGCTTCTATTTCCAGCCCTGGCCTTGGGCAAGTCAACCTCTCCGTGCCTCAGTTTCCCCATCTGTAAAATGGAGATAATGACACCAACCTCCTGTGTAAAGGACTGTGAGCTCTACCGGTGAGACGCACTAGATAAAAGCTGAGTATTATTGTAACTGGACCTTAAGCAATCTCCTGGAAAAATCCCACTGACACTCACTCCAGTTGCACACCAGCAACAAATCCTTGGATAAGCCAATGACAAATCTGTTGGCATTGTTGTTTATGAACAAGTGCTGCTGGCCCTTTAAAAGCCTCCCGCTCCTAAGACTCACCACTCTAAACTGGACAGAGGCCAAGGCAAGGAGGTCTGATTGGCACAAGAGCAGAGCGCACCAGTGCTGATCTCAGCCCTTTTGCTCTGAGCTCCAGCTGCTGATTGCTCGAGATCTGTACAGTTTTTACAGGCTGGGGCGTCAGGGGCCCTGCGAGGGAATCGAACCTTGGCCTATCTGCGGCCAAGGTCTCTGATTAATCTCAGGCCGAGAGTCACTTTAACCAAAGGGCACAAACAGACCAGCTGCTGTGTCTGTGTTAACATCTGGGTTTCTCTGACCTGGAAATCAGGGAGCAAGCTGCTGCATGGAGCCACAGTCTGATCTCGGGGAGACACGCAGATCGAAACGAGGGGAGTCAGGAGGGGGAGAATATGTCATCAGTGAAAAGCGGTTGGTGTTTTTCTCAGCCCCAGAGGAAAAGGTTCTGCTGAATGGCTGCGGTTGTGTCCTGTCCCAGCAGAGGGCAGCAGTGTGTCCACTCACCTGCACCCCCAAACCCCACCCCTGAACCCCCCCCCCCCGAAGCCCACACCTGAGGGAAACGGACTGTTTCATTTCTGTGATACTGACTCGAGTCGGTGACACCCGTTCACATCATGCACTTGCTCCAGTTACAGTATCATTAGTCTCAGACAAATGGCCAACAACCCCCCACCCCATCCCTCGGTTTTGCACCCTGGTCCTCTCACATGGGCCCATCCCAGCTCACAAGTCAGCAGCTAATTTTTATAAACCCTCCACCCCTGGGTGCAAAAACCCACCTTGCCCTTCCTGCCTCTCCCTTTGTTGCCAGTAACACCAGAGGATTCCTGGGCAGCCGGTCCCCCTCTGGGCCTGACCCTCAGAGGGTGTGAGGCGGTCATAGCTCCTAGTCCTTGATCCTTTAGCTCAAGCTGTAGAGACCCACCCGGGAGGTTGCAGGTTCAACCCTCTGTGTCAGCCAAGAGGGCAGTGGTCACACAGTTCCCCCACCTTGCACTGCTCCGCCACGCGTCCGGGGGCCAGACAGTAGTTCACACCCCACAGCCTATCCCCGCTCCTGCGGGGGGCCTGTTCGGGTGGCTTGGGTGATACGGACACTTGCCTGGATGGGAGCTAGTCTGAGACCCAAAATCAATTCAGGCAGAGGACACTGAACAACACGTTTGGTTGTTACCACACGGGCTGGATTTGAACCCGTGACCTCAAGGGGTAAGGGGGCTGAGCCTGGGATGTGGCTGCTCAGTCAGCTGGACTCTAACCCAGACACTCGCAGGAACTCAGAACTTGGGGGGTCTGATTTCACTGTAGGATCCCTCAGCAGTACCCCCTGAAGGGCTAACCACCCATGTGACCGAGCCCAACTGGGGGTACCCCCTGGGGCCAGTTAGCTGTGGTGCCCCCTTACCATGTTGTGGATGATGTTGGTGAGAGTCCAAACCACAGGGACACTGAAGAAGGGGATGCTGAGGAGGACCACATGCAGCAGGCCAATCCCCAGCACGTAGGAGAGCCAGATGCCCCGGCTGTTCATGACACGGGTGTTGGGGTTCACCTCGCTGTGAGCTGTCCCCACGTTCATGCTGGCTCGTGTGTTGGGTAGGCAGTCCTGAACTGAACCAAGAAGAGCAAGAAGCAGGTCAGTGCAAGGAGGCAGCAGACTCCACTAAGCTAGAAGCTAACCAGAACCCTCCATGCAATGACCCCATCCTTCCCTGTCCCTGCCATTCAGCCAAGACCAGCCCAGCATGGAGCATTGTCTTGCAGGTAAAGCACCTGACAGGAAGTCAGGACTACCGGATTGTGTCCCAGACACTGCCACCCTCTCACCACAAACCTTGGGCAAGTCACTTCACTGCCCTCTGCCTCAGTTACCCTAGTTATAAAACAGAGACGACAGTCTTGTGTGCGAGCTAAATCCACTCGAGTTTGAGATTCAGGTGGAAGATGCCAGGGAAACGGGAAGCATTTCTACACTGGGGTATTTATAATTCTAGTGGTATATTCTGGTGGAACCAGGGCACATGGATGATTTCAGTCCTGTGACTGCCTGTGAAGAGCCAAATGGGTAATTTCACAGCATAATATGGACCAAATTTTCTTTCGCAGGATACATTAAGACCCTGGTCCTGAAAAATCTGGAGCATAGTTACCCACATGCTGAAGTGTTTGCAGGATCTAGGCCATTACAGGTCCTAAGAAAAACTTCAGGCCCGATTCTGCAAAGTCTTAGGTGTGTGCAACCTTACACCTAGGATTAGCCCCATTGACTGCCATAGGGTTCTGCGTGCCTGCAGGAGCCTCCCCACACTGACCCACATCACAGAACTGGGCTCTTGTTTTATAAGCAGTTAAAAAGAAAAGTCTCCCAATTAAAGACTTTGCAGAGATCATTGCAGCAATGGGTAGGAGAAATGAAGAGCTCCAGGAGAGGACGGAGAGAGATCCTTTGACAGCAAGGTTAGAAACGATGCAGGGAGGTCGCTTCACCACTGGGTGCCTTACAGGAGAAGGCTCCCACCCTGCCGTGGGGTAGGCTGTGCAGACCCCAGGAGCAGCAGGGAAAGAAGCATTTTCAAAGCAATTCCGATAAGGCCAGAAAGAGAGACTCACTACTGGAAAGGAGAAGATTGTCAGAGGTTGGATTTGGTGCCATACACAGCAATCCGTAAAATCTCAGGGCCTAGGGCTGCTGCACTCATTCGCTGGCACAATGAAACAGGTTCAAAAGCAAACACCAGTCACAGGAGTCCATACAGAGCACGCTGACTGAACTTTCATCTGATGATGAAACACACAAGCAGCAGGAGAAGAATGGAGCTGGACAGACCTATCTGTAGCCAAGGTTCGAATGCTGCTACCAGCCTACAGGGATAAAAAGCCACCATCACAAAGCAAACAGGAAATGAGGCTTTTCACCCCCGCCGCATCAGATCTCAGCCGGCTGCTGTCCAGCTGGTACACTCCAAAGCTGGAGCCAATCGGAAGGCAGATTGTGATGTCACTCAGTCAGAGCGAGATCACAACCAAAAAACTCAGATTCCAGAGACAGCCAAAAGGTGCTAATGATGGGCCCACTCCTGTGAGCATATTGCTCCCAGGCAGTGGGATAACTTGTGGTACTGAGCAATGAGCTCACTGCTAAGCCAAGGAAGCAAGTATTTTCAGGCTCAGCTAGAATGACCAGATGTCCCAATTTTATAGGGACAGTCCTGATATTTGAGGCTTTTTCTTATATAGATGCCTATTACTCCCAACCCCCCGTCCCGATTTTTTACACTTGCTGTCTGGTCACCCTAGCTCAGACCTTTGTGGGACTGAAGCAAGGAACCTCATCGCCATCTGTCTCCCACAGGTGCCGAGTACCAAGGTGCCAGCACACCTTCAACAGAGCAGTGGGTGTATTCGCCATCACTTGAAGCCTTGCTAAAAGACTCTTCAGCTCCTCCACCACCACTTCCTGGGCTCAATGCAGGAATCACTGGGAGGGCATTTCGGGGCTGTGCTATACAGCAGGTCAGACTAGATGATTAGACTCGTTGCATGCATTATGTTAAGGGTGTATGCAAGGTCAGGGCCAACATTTGGAAACGTTTGCCCATCCCTGGGCGCTTCTTAAAACTAATTTCTATATATTTTGTCAGGCTTTATTCCAAAGCCGCTTTGTTGCTTTTTGGCAGATTTTTCAAAAAGTTGACAGATTTCCGCATTAGTAGGCGCATACAACTGTGTCATTCAAAGTTTAGTAGCTACCAAAGTACAGACGCAGAAATGAAAAGGCCTAGACAAGCCAGGCTCCCTCTTCCTGGTAAGTTTCTAGTGCTGTTGCTGGTTTAACTCCCATGGCCAGGAGACCGATTTGCTGCTGTTCTCCAGCTCCCACATGCCCGCGTTGTGTGGGAGGTGGTTTTGCAGCCAGACCTCTTGTTGGGTTCTCTACGCAGCAGCCAGATGTTCCAAGTTTCCTTACACAGAATCCACAGAACAAACACTCTCCCTCCTGCAACCGCTGTTGGCCGTGCGGCGTCCTTCAGGCCTCCTGTAGTCACCCGCGGATGCTGCTCAGCATCAGACATCCAACGCGAGGCAGGGCTGCGATCCGACAGACACACCCATTTCTCTGCCACTTAGAAACCTCGACACCCCAGGCCGACAAGTGGTTATGCTTGGAGAGGACTTTGGACCTGCTCTACTGCCTGCAGACAGGACACCCCAAATCTGCTGCTAATTGCTCAGCTTCTCATCACCACTTCCCCGGATCACAGCTCATCCCCCCGAGAGGGGCCAGCCATTGATATGCTAGTGGGAGACAGAGGCATGGTCTGAGCAGGGGGCTAGGAGGCAAGAACTCGTGAATCCCAATCACAGCTCAGACACTAACCCCATCTTCATCCTTGGGCAGGTCAAGTAGGGCCCGATCTGCGGCCCATTGGAGTCAATGGGCAGACTCCTACAGACCTCAGAAGCGCATGCTGAGGCCAAACAACATGTTGAATATCAGCTGCTTCAGTATCCTGGGTGTCCAGCTTGAGGACACTCAGGCTTGATTTTCAGAGAGGGCTGAAAATCCAACTCAGCCCCAGAGAAAAAAATCAGGCCAGTTGCAAACTAAGAAGGCACTTTTGAAATTCAGGCCCGTCGCCTTTTTGTGCCTCAGTTTCCCATTTGTAAAATGTGGATTAGACTTGGTTGAAATCAACTTCAAGTGGACACCATGGGGATCACGGCCCACCGAGGACATCCACCACTGAGAAATATCAGAAAAATATTGCAGATTCCATTTCAAATTCTCTCTTCTCCTGCCTAAAATACCCTGTCACCCCTTTTGTCCAGGACACCCCTGTTCCTGGATCGATAGTTACATCTCTTGTACAGAAGTCATCCCTAGACCCACTCTCTCCACGCCTCACAGGTCTCTGCGTCTTATTTCAAAGGTTGCTTAGGAGCTGCTAACGGCCCCTCCCCCGCACAACACAGCTTCTTAGCTTTACAGATGGGATTTGTTCACCTCCAGGAAAAAGAAAGCACGTGAGAAAAGTGATGGAAACTTTGCTCCAGCCCCCTCCCTCCTTCTGAAGCAGATGGCTGCTAAGCTCCAATTTCCCAGCAGTGCAACTGTTTCTCAGGGGTGGAAAGACTTTAATGTTTCGCCAGGCTGAGCGTGAAGGTTGGGATTGTTGCAATGCTGGAGAGCATCCGCCCAAGGGGGAGAAAAGTCCAAGTAGTTGTGGGAGCTAGACCCATCTCTGTGACAGACAAGTCTATGGAGCCTTCTACCTGCTCTGTTCCAGTCCAGCATCCGGACCACCCCAGCTCTTCCAGTCCTGGCCTCCCAGCACACCCAGCTGTCCCAATGCTCCTCAATCCTGACCCGCAGCCCCTGCTATGCCAGCCCTGGGCTCCCACCACATGCTTTGTGATGCCACTCAACCTCAACTCACAACCGCCTGACTATCCCCCATGGAACCTGCTTGGCACACAGATCACACGCAGAAAAGGCAGCAGTAAGATCTGGGGTGCCATACAGAGTCTGAGCTATTGTCTGGGGTCCCCACGTCCTAGAAAGCGCTGGGGTCATGAATTCTCCTCACCACACAGGATCAGATGCAGCTCTGGCCCAAACCAAACATTCAGCTGGAAGGAGACAGAGGTTTGTGCTGGCAAAGAGCAGAGCTTGTCCCAGAGGGCAGAGAAGTGACTCCCAAGAAGAACATAAGAACAGCCATACTGGGTCAGACCATGGTCCATCTAGCCCAGTATCCTGTCTCTGACAGTGGCCAATGCCAGGGCTTCAGGGGAGTGTACAGAACAGGGCAGTTGGAGTGATCCACCCTTGTCCTCCCCTCTCGGCTTCTGGCAGTCAGAGGTTTAGAGTCGCCCTCACTAAGGGGCTGCATCCCTGACTATCTTGGCTAGTAGCTATTGATGGACCTATCCTCCATGAACTTATCTCGTTCTTTTTTGAACCCTGTTATAGTCTTGGCCTTCATAACATCCCAAGGCAATTGCTATGTGAATAAGTAGTTCCTTGTTTGTATTAATCCTGCCACCTATGAATTTCAGCGGGTGGCCCCTGGTTTTTGTATTATGGGAAAAGGATAAGTAACACTTCTCTATTCACTTTTTCCACATCATTCATGGTTTTACAGACCTCTACCATACTGCCCCTTAGTGGTCTCTTTTGTAAGCTAACCAGCCCTAAGTTTTTTAGTCTCTCCTTGTATGGAAGCTGTTCCATCCATATCCTTGAATATCTGTGTTGTTCTTCTCTGAACCTTTTCCAGGTCCGCCATATCCTTTTTGGGATGGGGTGCCCAGAACTGCTCACAGTATTCAGTGTGGGGGCACCACTGGATTTATACAGTGACATTACGATACTGTCTTATTATCTGTCCCTTTCCTAACCTATCATTATTCTGCTTTTGTAGCCTCTTTAACTTCCCATAACATTTCACAATCGCTGTCCCCATCCTGGTCAGGTGTTCAGTTGTGTATTCCTGCTGCTATATTCTTTTTATTCAAGCCTGGAATTTCTGTCTATGGCGACTATGGTACAGTCTGTTTCATGTCTTATCTATGGGTTTTTTCTTTTTTTAAGCATATAACGCCACTCCCCCACCCACAACCTACACTGTCATTCCTATATATTTTACACTCTGGTTTAACCGTGTCCTGTCATTATCCTCATTCCACCAAGCTTCCATGATGCCTATTATATTAATATCCTCATTCAATGCCAGACACTCTAGTTCACCCATCAGAGTATTGAGATTTCTAGCGTTCATATATAAGCACTTGTACATTTTGCCCATAATTCAGTGGCTTGCCTTCCTGTGCTATATTTAAATGGCACTCGAAACAAGAGCCAAATTAAACTCTGCGACTCTGCCTGAAGCCAGCAGGAGTTACACCATCCTACACTGAGCCACGCTGGGTAAAGGACTCCAAAGGGAGGGTCCTTTGGAACCAACACAGATGACAAACAACCAACACATTACACAATACATAGTATGTGGGAGATCAGGCTGTTAATGGGCCCATGAGGCAGCGAGCCATTCACTGGGCGGATGGGCATGATGCCTTCAATATGCATGGCTGGCCATTGGGGAGCTAGCAATTTCCCCACCCTCCTTAATGGGGATGGACGCAGTCTCCTAAAACCTGCTCTTCTCCATAGCATCCCAGTCGAAGGGCAGCCCTTCCAAACATACCTGCCAGCCACAGGATCAGCTGGAAGGTGGGGACCAGCCTACCACATTGTGTGAGGTGTACAGCACCCGTTTGCTGCAGTGTTATATGGGAACGGGCTATGCCCCACCACTTGCCACAAGATGTACCAGCACCTCCACCCCCTGCCAGATGGGCTCTATAGCTCTGGAGGCATTTAACAAGTCCTTTTACACCACTATCATGTTAATTTGCAAAGCACTTCGTATTAGCTGATTAGTGCCAGGGTAAGTCTAATTTAGGTGATAGGATGATACTGAAAACCCCCAAGAGATCATTTGGGCTGCATCATTCACTTCTTAGCACCTGGTACGGTCTTTTTACACCCACTTTACACAGGTAGGAGTGACTAGAGGAGGGGTGAGACCATGGGGAAATCAGGTGTGGGGTGTGCTATGAAGTGCCCTCCAGACAGGTTGGAGTAGAACACACTAGATTCCAACCCCAGCCACCCTGGGGAAACTCAGAATGACTTCTGTGAAGTCAATGGGATCATCTGGGGTTTACACCAGCATCAATGAGATGACACTCCGGCCTTAATCCGCAAAGAGCTCAGGGAATGCTATGTTGCAAAAAACCAGAGGGTTTGAATGGGGATGTTTTGTACATGACCCACAAGTGCCACAACATTTGCTCAAGCTGAGTGTGTGCAGACCGTCAGTCTGCTCCATTGGGTAGCAGGACCAGGGTTACAGGTTTTTGGAGGAGGGACTGGAACAATAATTACTGATCACACCCCAGATGCACAGAGCTCTACGCATTTACAGTAATAGATGCTATCTAATCAATCCCCACCTGACAGCATCCCAAAGCATCAGCAGCCTCATTCTATAGATGATGCCAAGGTTCTCCAGAGAAGAGAAGTCACTTGCTCCTACCCACACAACAATCAATGGCAGAGCTGAGCTAAGGACCAGGGGGTTCCCAGCTCCCAGGCCCATGCTCAGACCACATGTAACCTCTCACACTAGTTCTGCTTCTGCCAGTGTGTCCCACCTGTGCCCTCTTTAGCTTGTTAACTAGAGCAAAGGGCCTGAACTAAAATATACAAGCAGGATCAAATCTGGATCCATAATTTGCAGCTTCCAAGTGCCATTTCCAGAACACATCATCTCAACAATCCTGAGCATCGGGGGAATGTCCGGATCCCTAGTTATGACTGTGGGGTGATGTGGGGAGAAGGGGTTGGCAGCCATCTGTGGTTGCTGTTATTTGAACATAGTTTGCTGTTATCAAAGCAAACACTGCACACGCAAGCTTTCGATGGGAGTTCCCAGACGACTGGTATTGCTCAGATCATCCAGTTTTATTCCCTGAGCCACCTGAGGGATGTTCGTGGGGCCCCAGAGTCACTTTTGTGAGCTCAGCCTGGGACTTTTCAATGCAGAATAATCTTCTCTCTTTGGAAGAACAGGGGCTCCCATAGCATATAGCAAAACTGCCAGTTGCTTGGGTTTCCCCATGGAAATAGCAATATGGCTACAGAAGAGTATTATTTATCTGTACAGTGGTAGCACCTAGGAGCCCCAGGCATGGCCAAGGACCCAGATCCTGTGGTGCTAGGAGCTGTACAAGCACAGAATAAAACTGGTCACTGCCCCAAAAAGCTGGCAATCTAAGCCAAGCGAAGATTGCAGGCTGTCCTGGAGAGATGTGTGCCCTGAGGCCTCTCCAGTACTGCTTGGGATGCAGGAGGAAAGGGAAATACATACCCAAGCCAGAAGTGAACCCACCATACGGGGATCGTGCCCCAGCTTCTCTCAGCCTACAGATTCCCTAAGAAAAGGTCGCAGTCACACAGCATGCCTCTGCTGGAGATTTCCCACAGCTGCGCGTAGATCCCCATGGCTTCTTGGCAGTGGCTTTTGAGGGCTGCGTTGCCTATGAACTGCAGAAGGCCTCTGCTCCCCCACAGCTCCAGCTTCACCCCCCACCTCTGCTTGCACAGCAGAATTTGTTCCAGTCTGCACTTTCCCCAGATGCCACCCACGATTAACCTCTTCGTGGCAACTTAGGGACTTGTTGCTTCCTAGCTGTGCCAGCCCATTCTACTACATTGTATTACAGGAAACTGCTGCAGGAGCGGACACCTTGCTCTAGTCGCACAACTCGATTTTATCCGACAGCTCAGCTGGGAGGCTTTGTGAGAGTCTGTGAGGGGAGGACAAAGAGGGGACGGGACACTGAGTCTTTCACCTTGAGGTCACCAGTTCAAATCCAGCTTAGGCTGGCAGCGCAGTTGGGCCTTTGGACAAAGACCCAGATCACAATGGAGATGGCAGCCTCAGTGGAGAGGCAAAAGATGCTGTCAGACATAGGGACCAAAGGGCCTCTGCAGGTCAGTAGCTGTGTGGGGGGAACGTGGCTGGGGATTTGTGGGAAACTTCCCCATACTGTATCTGCTCTGTGGACGCCAAGAATCTAGGGCTGCCAAGCCACCAAGTCACCTCTCCCTAGAGACCTTCCTTCCACGATACCCCCCTGGGGGCCCCTCTTGTGCTGCTTGCCTGCAGTCTGGATAAAGGCATCCCGGAAGCTCCCTCCCAGTCCTACCCCCCCAGGTCCCGGTCACCCCAAAAACTCCGCTCGACAGAACCAACATCCTTTGGAGCGCTAAGGAAAGGTCCAAGGGCCTAACCCCATGATGCACGCCAAAGCCTGCCAACCCGCCCTGGCAGGCTCCCAGCCCCACTCCCCCCAAGGGGGAAGCAGGCACCCCTCCCCCAGCTGGCTTCCCGACCTCTCATGGCCCTAGACAGCAGACTCCCCCCATTCCGCCTCCCTCGTCCAGAGTCCAGCACCCCCACACTCCCTTAGCCCCCTTGCCCCTCCCATCACGGGGGCTGCCCCCCAAGCCTTGCACCCCCCCAACTCTGCCCCCCCTCTCCCCCGCCCCAGGTCCCTGCTGCCCCCCCCCCTTCTCCTGGGCCCCTATCTCCGCCCCGCTGCAGACCCCAGCCCCGGTGCTCACCGCGCTGCGCAGCCGCCTCTCGGCCCGGCGCCCCGGGCCTCTCCCCGCAGCCCAGCGCCGCTCCCCGCCGCCGCGGACAACACAGCCGCAGCTGCTGGCAGCTCCGCCCTCCCCAGCACCCCCCCCGCGGGCGCGGGGCGCGCTGGGAAATGTAGTTCCCCTGGGCAGCTCGGGACTCCCACATGTCCCATGGCCCCTGGGAGCCGCCGCGCGCTCCCTGCCAGCTCGCTGCAGATGGTTTTATGCGCTCGTTCATTTTATTGTATTTCCGTGCACTGGTTCCCATCTCTGACTTGTTATGGTTTGCAGCACCTGTGATTCTCTCATGAATCGTCAGCAGCCCGGGCTTGGCTTTTTACTCCGTTATGGTTCGCTGCCCGTCGGCTGCGTGCCCGGCGCTGCAGGGTACACACAGGTCCGGCCCTAGGCTGGCAAAGGCTACAGGCCTCATCCCGCACACGCGTCACTTTCCGACCATGAACGGTCCCACTGAAATCAGTGTAGTCGTAAAGTGAAGTGTGAGCATACATGTTTGCAGAATTGGGGTTGTAAGGGTGCGCTTCAACTTTGTGTGTGAGTAAACGCGCTGAATTCAATGGGGCTAAGCGCATGCTTCACTCTTTGCAAGGGACGGTGGCAAAACCCTCCCTGCCCTGAGAAGCTTGCATGTTCTGTGAGTTCAGCCCCTTCAAACTCGCATATCTTACTCCCACGAGCTAGCCTGGAGCGTGCAATGGAAACAACATGGGTGGATCCTGTTCCCAGATGGAGCCTAATTGAAATCAAATGGGGCTCTGTGGGGGCATGAGGATCCAATCTCAGGAACAGGGCTCTGAGAAATCAGATAAGTAAAGTTATTCACATGTGTAAGTGTTTGCATGGCCAGCTTCTATTTGTCCAGTGTTTCAGCAAGAAGTACGCATTGCAAAGAAGCAGACACTGTGATATAAGTGTGTGATTTTGTGCTGAATAGAGAGGTGAGATGGCCTTATGAACAGCGAAGTGGGCTGAGCCTCAGGAAATCTGGGTCACTTCTTGCCTATGTTAGTGATCTGGGGGCAAGTCTCTGTCCTCTGTTTCCCACTTGTCTATTTAGACTGGAAATTCTTTGGTGCAGGGACTGCCTCACTCTCCTTTTCTCTCCACTTTCCTCCAAAAGGCTCTCCTGCTTCCATTCACTTCAGTCCTTAATTTCTCCCCCAAATTATCATTATTATTATGGTAGCAGCTAGAGGCCCCAGCTGAGATGAGGGCCCCATTGTGCTAGGTGCTGTACGTATATATAGTGAGAGACTAAGAACTTACAGTCTAACTAGACAAGACAGACAAAGGAGGGACAGTTACCTGTTTTGTACAGAGGGGGAAATTGAGGGCCAGAGAGATTAGATGACTTTGCCCATGTCACTCAAGGAGTCTGTGGTAGAACTGAACCCAGCTTGCCTGAGTCTTAGCCCAGAATACCAGCCTTTCCAAAATGTCCAAGTTTCTAGCTTCCAGATACTGGCAGAAATATACAAAGGGGAGGAGGGAAATTTGGCTTAAGGACACTGGGGCAAACTCTTGATCTTATGAAAAGTGCCTCATGGCTTCTTTCATGTCTGCACAGAGCAGAGCCTGGATTTTTAAGGTTGATTCAAAAGACACCCTGACCCCAGCTACTGCTTAACTTGTGTGTCCCAGATAGTTTTCTAGCTGAGTCCCTCTGATGAGACCTTGAAAACTGGAGCCCTGTCCTCTCTGTTTGGATATTAAAGAACCCATTGTCCTTCCTTTAAGAGTGGGGAGTTGGCCTTGAAGTGTTTGGCCAAAATTCCCCTCCCCTTCCCACAGTTGTGTTGTGTGTTAGTTGGCTGTTGGCCTGCACCCCAGAGGTGGCTGCACTTCAATAGTGCCATGTACATACTGTGTGTATGGGACTTTGGGAATCCTGTGGGATGAGAGGTGCTATAATAACATACAATACTTAACATAAAATGTTAATAGCAGTAATAATCACATGTAATGTAGCATACTCTGTGGAGTGCAAGTATAATATTATAGGGGTAGGCATAACATGTTCATAGCCATCTGCAAACTGAGGCTCTGATCCAGCAAACACTTAAGCATGTGCCTCATTTTTAAACCCATGAGAAGTCCTGTTGACTTCCCTGGAACTACTCACTTGCATAAAGGTAAGCAGGTGCTTAAGTGCTTTACAAGATCAGGGTCTGAGAGTGCGTCTGTGAATAACGATTAGCTAACCAATGGCACCCATTGTGCTACCAATGTCTAATAATTCTATAATAGTCGTACACACTATGACATCTTTGGACCAAGGTCAGGATCCTGTGTCCATTCTGAATTCTTTGGCTTGTGCATGTCAAGGGAGTCCTGCATTAGTCTGCTAAATAATCAAAGCTAAGTACCTTGTGGCTACAGCCCCGCAGTATGCATGGCCCATTTGCATGCTGCCTATATGTGCTTTGCTTTGTGCAGCTTGTGAGCTTTTCCCACCAAGCAGCAGCAGAGGGGGCCATGCTGTTATTTGGAAACCAGCTCCCAGGATGAGCTGCTTCTCTGTCAGACGTTTGGACTCATTGGTCCCCCCATGGCATGGGCTAGTTTACTGTAGTACCCACCTTAACTGACCAGGATCAGAGAGGGAGGTCTGGAAAGCTGAAGACATCAGTGCCTCATATTCATTGATCTGTGACTTGATCAGTCTCTGCTCCAGCGGAAAGCAAATGTAACTCACTGGTCAGAATGTCTTACACATTCCCCTGTGTGTCTGATCCACAGGGATGTAAATCCTTTAAAGTCTACAGCTGCAGAACCTACATCTTTGGCTCACATTATTCCAGCTCCTGCATTTAGCACTGGTATGCCTTGGTTCAGTTCGTGATGGTAACCAGCTCACACACTTGAGGTCCCTGAAATGGTGGAGAGAAAATCCCTTCCCAAGCTCACATGTGGGGCTTGGTGGAGTATGGTGCATGTGAGCCAGAATCACTGTAGCTCAGCATTTCTTCCTCTGCCGATCTCTTCCTCAGACCCTCCAGAACGATGCTCAAAGGCATGGGAACTGGGAGCTTAACTGCCAGAGGTGCCTTGGAAAATTGCAACCTAAATCCACATTTAGGCACCCAAATAAAGTGGCCTAATTTTCAGAAGTGCAGAGTGCTCAGCACCTCCCACTGAAAGTCATACTCTACATTTCTGGGAGGTGGGGTTGTAACTGTTTTATCCATGGTGGCCCTCTAATTACCATTCAGACGGGCTCTGATGGGCTAGAGGAGTTAATGCTAGTGCACGTGGATTGCTATTTTAACCACTACCCAGGAGTTTGGAAAAGCATTCAGACCCTCCTACCCACTTTGCCTCAAGAACTAATCCAGCAAAGCAACTCAGATCCCGGGCGGCTGTTAACAGTCACTTCCTTTCCTTTTTTATAAACACAGGCCGCAATCACATGAATGTAGGTGAAGATGCAGCTCCTGAGAGTGTGGGACTCCGAGCACTGGGGCAGTTCAGCTCTGTATGGCTGGAGGGAGACCCATGGATGCTGTGCGAAGGTCTTGCACATGGCTCTGCAGATGCACCTCAGCCCTGATCCATAGCTGTTCTGTTTGGGAGCTCCCTCAGGGCTCTGCCAATGCACCTCCATGCTGACAGGCCACACCATCTGATAGGCCAGTCCTGGGCCTCACATACGCAGCTCTGCCTATGCCCCTCTGCTCCATAGTACCCTGGGCTCAGGTCCTGGGTTCCCCCCAATCCCGACTTGCAGCCCCACCACTATTCGAGCCCTGGGCTCCTGCACACTGTACTGTCAATACCCCTCAAGCCCAACTTGCTGAATTTCATTTCTGCCCAGATTTTCATTTGATTTTTTCCCCACCCCAATTGTGCAATAATTAGCCAGAGAAACCTTCTTTTCTTTGACTGGAACTCAAGCAGCAAGCATAACAACATGAAAGGGAGGACTTATGTCCATTTATTCTTTTATGTAGAGACTAAAACTAAAACCCCTCCAACGCATTATTAAGGATCTACAACCTATCCTGAAGGATGACCCAACACTCTCACAAATCTTAGGAAACAGGCCAGTCCTTGCCTACAGACAGCCCCCCAACCTGAAGCAAATACTCACCAGCAACCACATACCACACAACAAAACCACTAACCCAGAAACCTATCCTTGCAACAAAGCCCGTTGCCAACTGTGCCCCCATATCTATTCAGGGGACACCATCACAGGGCCTAATAACATCAGCCACACTATCAGAGGCTCGTTCACCTGCACATCTACCAATGTGATATATGCCATCATGTGCCAGCAATGTCCCTCTGCCATGTACATTGGTCAGACTGGACAGTCTCTACGTAAAAGAATATATGGACACAAATCAGATGTCAAGAATTATAACATTCATAAACCAGTCGGAGAACACTTCAATCTCTCTGGTCACGCGATTACAGACATGAAAGTTGCGATATTACAACAAAAAAACTTCAAATCCAGACTCCAGTGAGAAACTGTTGAATTGGAATTCATTTGCAAATTGGATACAATTAACTTAGGCTTGAATAGAGACTGGGAGTGGCTAAGTCATTATGCAAGGTAACCTATTTCCCCTTGTCTTTTCCTACCCCGCCCCCTGAGACGTTCTTGTTAAACCCTGGATTTGTGCTGGAAATGGCCCACCTTGATTATCATACACATTGTAAGGAGAGTGATCACTTTAGATAAGCTATTACCAGCAGGAGAGTGGGGTGGGGGGAGGTATTTTTTCATGCCTTGTGTGTATAAAAAGATCTTCTATACTTTCCACAGTATGCATCCGATGAAGTGAGCTGTAGCTCACGAAAGCTCATGCTCAAATAAATTGGTTAGTCTCTAAGGTGCCACAAGTCCTCCTTTTCTTTTTGCGAATACAGACTGACACGGCTGTTACTCTGAAACCTGTCATAACAACATGGTGAGCTTTCCGGTGGTGCTCTGAATAGAAGTAATTGAGGGTTTCCTGTGCTGTTACCAGAAATCAGTGCATCTCTGCCATGTTATAGCCTTGTAACTGCTGAGTGTGAGCTTCCAGTCAGGCTCTCAGGAGCAAATGCAAGGTGTCT